AAAATACAGTAAAAAAATTAAAATACAATTAAAATATACACTCTTAAAAATTGCCATCGGGACCCACAGTTGTTATTATTTCAGTTAAAAGCCTTCTGGAACAGGAAGGTTTTGACCTGGTGCCCAAATGTCATCAGCATCAGCGCCAGAGAATCTCAGTGGCGATGGCATTCCTTGGTCTGGGGGCAGCAGCCGAAAAGGCCCTTTATCTACAAGCCATCCCTCTTACCTCCTTGAGGGAGGGCTCTTTCAAAAGGCGCCCCTGGCTAGATCTTAACTGCTGGGTAGGCTCATATGGAAGGAGGCGGTCCTTCAGATATCCAGGGCCCAAGCTGTTTAGGGCTTTATATGTCAAAACAAGCACTTTGAATTGGGCCCAGGCAGCAACCGGTAGCCAATGTAATTTAAACAGAATCGGCTTGATGTGCCCCCTAGTGGCCCCACCACTCACCAGCCATGCAGCTTGATTCTGGACCAGTTGCAGTTGCCGGACCATCTTCAAAGGCAGCCCCACGTAGAGCGCATTGCAATAATCTATACGAGATGTTACCAGTCCGTGTGTAACTGTCATGAGACTCCGCTCATCCAGGTAGGGCCGTAGCTGGTACAGTTTCTGCAGCTGAAGGAAGATGCCCTGGCCACTGAGTCCACTTGGGCTTCCAGAGTTAGACTGGGGTCCAGGAGCACCCCCAGGCTGTGGACCCTTAGGGGGAGTGTAACCCTATTCAGGGCAGAGAAATGGCCCTTCAGCCTGTCTGGCGAAGCACCCACTAACAGTACTTCCGTCTTGTTTGAACCGAGTTTAAGTTTATTAACCCTCATACAGTCCATTATCACGTCCAGACATGAGTTCAGCACAGAAACTGCCTCACCTGGATTGGTGGGAAACGAGAGGTAGAGCTGAGTGTCATCAGCATATTGCTGACTCCTCAGCCCAAACCTCCTGATGACCTCTCCCAGCAGTTACCCACTAACAGTACTTCCGTCTTGTTTGAACCGAGTTTAAGTTTATTAACCCTCATACAGTCCATTATCACGTCCAGACATGAGTTCAGCACAGAAACTGCCTCACCTGGATTGGTGGGAAACGAGAGGTAGAGCTGAGTGTCATCAGCATATTGCTGACTCCTCAGCCCAAACCTCCTGATGACCTCTCCCAGCAGTTCCATGTAGATGTTAAACAGCATGGGGGACAGTATCGAGCCATGACGAACCCCATGACAGAGCAACTGTCCCCCAGCAACACCCTCTGGACACGGTCAGCCAGGAAGGAGCAGAACCATAAAGCAGTGCTCCCAACTCCCAACCCAGTCAGCCTATCCAGAAGGACACCATGGTTGATATTGAAAAGCTGCTGAGAGGTCCAGAAGTATCAACAGGGTCACACTCCCACTGGGCGACCAAGGCAGTCTCCATACCAAAACCTGGCCTGAAACCCGATTGAAATGGATCCAGAAAATCCGTTTCATCCAGCAGCGCCTGGAGTTGCCCGGCCACAACCTGCTCCAACACTTTGCCCAAATAAGGGAAGTTCGCCACTGGTCGGTAGTTAACCACCAGCCTTCATTAGCTATCTTTTAGATCCAAAAAGTTATTAAACATCCTTTGATAAATTCCAAATGCTTTTATCATTTTTATAGAAGTTTCCGTTAAAGTCCATGATAGCCATGCTGTTAAAACTGAGAATATCTACCAATGTCCAAATGACATTCTCAAAGCCAGTTTTCAAGTTGTTATTGTATATTGCATTCTTCACTTTGAAGAATCTGCTCCATACCACCTGGATTTTTGCTTTTGAAAATATTCTGCTTTTTATAGTGTGTCTATCATCTGGTTCCACTACTCATTCAACCATATTCCAAGGCACTTACAGTGGGGTCTCTACTTAAGAACGTCTCCACTTAAGAACAATCCAACTTAAGAACAGCTCCATTTGCTAAATTTTGCTTCTACTTGAGAACAGAAATCCAAGATAAGAACAGGAAAAAAAAACCTTTCCTGCTCTTTTTTTAACCTTAGGTCATCTTAGGTTAAAAAAAAAAAATTCTCCCCCTAGTGGTAGAGTACGTATTAACCAGCTTTCAGTGTACGAACACACCTCTACATAACAAAAAAACAGCCAGAACGGATTAATTGGTTTTCAGTCCATTCCTATGGGAAATTTTGCTTCAACTTAAGAACGTTTCAACTTAAGAACACCATTCCAAAATGGATTAAGTTCTTAAGTAGAAGTTCCACTGTAGTTTCTATGGACGGAAAAGAGCAGATACGGATTAAATGGATTTCAGTGCATTCCTATGGGAAATGCAGATCCAACATAAGAACTCTTCAACTTGAGAACCACCTTCCAATACGGATTAAGTTCTTAAGTAGAGACCCCACTGTATATTTGTCACTCCACACTTTCATGCTGGATCTTTAACAACACTCCTTTGGGCTCCTTGTTTTTTTAGTGTTCTTGTTGCTCCTTTAGCTTACATAAATAAATACAATTTTATCTATTTCCTTGATACAATGTTGAACAATGTTCTGGGTATAGTTGCAGTAATCAATTTGTTTTCTCCGCCTCCCCTTTTTAGGTTTGTATCTGGCTTCCTATGAAAGTGAAAGTCCAGAAAACCAAACTGAAAAAGAAAGGTGGAAAACTTTGAGGTATTAATTAATTAGTTAATTAATATTGAGTCGAGATTGGGGAATGTTTGCATGTGGATGTGGAGGGTTTCCTGTCTCTTCCATGGTCACCACAGTGTGAAGACAAAACTGTACTTTATACAGAAACATGTATAAGAGTGATGTGAAAATCTTTCTGCTACCATGTTTGCAAACTTATCCAAACTATACCCATGGATATGCATCTCCAAACATATCTGCAAATTACTTTTTTTTTTTGCGCTTGATGAATAAATCCTTTTAGAACATGATTGATGTGGAAATTCAACTCAGATTTTTTAAGGAACTTTTCCTACTGCAAGCCTGTTGCTACTGTCTTTCTATAGGACAGAGCTGGCCCAGAAACTAACTAAATCCAAAAGGAGCCAGCCACACATAATTTGGCATTACTTAAGGTGTGAACCTTTAAGGAGATGCATATTTCATGTTCTTACTGTGTTTTCCCTCCAGCCATCTGATCTCCTTTGTTATGCATCTCACAGCAATCAGATTTTCAAAGAAAGAAGGTGTTTACATTCTGTTGGTGAGCTGTTTCTGTTTTTAATGTGCTTTCACAGTCAGAATTTCCCCCCACCTGAGGGCAGATTGCTTCTAGGTTTGGAATTAGCATCTTATCTACTGTGCCTCTTTGTTAAATATCAGGATGCCCACATAATGTAATGTAGAGACCAACAGAGTTCAAATTATGGGTTTTCCAGAAAACTGAGTTTTAGTGAAAAATAGAATAATCAACTAGTGCAGCCTTTTTTGTTTCCCTTGACACCATCCTGACTTGTGATACTGTTGACTGTTGTTATATTGCTGGATAGGCTCTGTGGGTCTGCTGTTCCTTTTGGGGTTTCAGGAGGTAACACACTGGAGGATTTCTACCTAGTGTAATGGCATTGGTACCAGAAGCTTTTGGTTTATCCCTCATCCTTTTAAACCTCTATATAAAGCTGCTGGGTGAAATTATCAAGAGGGCAGGAAGCTACTGATGACACCCAGCTCTGTTTCTTTCTATCATCTACATCAGGTGAGGCTTTACTGGTGTGTAAATTTGATAAAGGACTGGATGAGAGCCAATGAATTTTGGCAAGAGGAGAACCCTGTGACTGATTCCTATATTTGGGTAGCAGTTGGGCCAAATGGGATTGCATTCCCACCCAAAAAATTCAGATACCTAGCTGGTACATCTTTTTTTTCCACTTGATTACGAGGTTGCATGAGAGAACCATTTATCAACTTTGACTTGTTTGCCACTTATGCTCATTCCTGAATAGAGCCAGTTGGTCCATAATGATCCATGTTCTGGTAACCTCCAGACTGAATTATTATAATGGATTATGTATTTGTGGAGCAGTTCTGGAAGATGACCTGAATAATTTCATAGAATCATAGAACAGTTGAGTTGGATGGGGCCTATAAGGCCATCAAGTCCAACCCCCTGCTCAGTTTTAGCTAGTGCAGAATAGGCATGCCAGCGTTTTAACTACTGCAGCCAGATGGACTGGTATTACACTGATTTTGAAGCAGGTGCGGTGGCAAGGTGTTGGTGCTTCATTTAAAAATATGGGTAGGCAAGCTGCATTCCTACTGGTGTTAATTTGAACTCCTGGCATTGATCACTAGTGGTAATGGCATGACATCCAGAAGGCTGCCCTTCAAGGCATCCTACAGCTGCTTTAAACCTCTAAACTGCTTGGAACCCCAGTACCTGAAAGAACACCCTTCTTTCCATGCATTGAGTTCTTCAGCATTTGTTAAGGGAAACTATTGTGTGAGAGAGCCTTCTGTGTGGTGGAAGTTATAAAATTCCCTTCCTCCAGAGCTGTAACTGATGCTGACTTTAGCAATCAGCACTCTTTTCAGTGCCGGGTGCAAACTGTTTTTTAATTTACCCAGGCATCTTAAGAGGGCCTATGTTCTCTCTTTTCATCTCTTCTCTAATATTTTCTTACTGTACTTCTTTATGGTGCACTCTACTTTCATATGACTTCTTTTGTTGTCTTATGTATATTGCCTTGGCATCTTCAAGAGTGATTAAATTTAAACAGGTAAATAAAAGTATGATCACGGTTAATTGGAACTCTCCACTGTGACCTGTCCATCTTCGGTGTCCCTGCACAGCATAGCCCGTAGCTTCTCTGAATTACTCAGGTCCCTTTGCCACGACAAGGTAGCAATCCGTGAAGGGGTAAATTTACATTTATAGGAAACCCTAAAAAGGCTCACCATAAGTCCGAATTGACTTGACAGCACATGATTAATTATATCCTTTACATTATTATTGACACATTATGTATTGACCTCTATAGGGAGGTGCCAAGTGTTACACTATACCTTATAAAAAGCAGTAGCTATTTTGAATGCATCATAGATACCTGATGGGGTGACAGTACAGATCAAGTTATGTATCATTTATTTTTGCTGCTCCATTGAGACAGATTTGAAGGTAGAAGTGTGTTGCAGAGGTATGCCCCACATTATTCTTTCCATATGGTGTGTTAAGAATTAGAAAAGGAAATTGCTGGAGATAACCTTTTTGTTTGTTTATTCATTTGTTTGTACATATACTTGATAATGTGTCAGATATGAAGAAAAAGATAGTATAAAAACTGACAAATTTAATCTGAAGTTTGCTCAGCTCAGCTTCATATTTCAACTTGCACCTTTCCAGTGTAATTTCCCAGTATCCTGTCTTCTCTTAAAGCTGAGGTTACACCATTTTTTCCCCTTTCGGCTTGAGTTTCTCTTTTGTTCTCAACTTTCAGGGCACTGGGCATAGCCAGACATCAGCTCAGTGCAGAAACATAGAATACGGTCAAAGTAAATTTGATTACCTCTATGTCATACTTGTTTTCTTGCTTTTTTACCATTCTCATGTTTCTTCTTTGCAGGTCAACTATCTTAGGAAAGACTTGAAGATAAAGATCTATAACTACAGTAGGACAAAAAATGTATCGGCAAAACTACTTTGCACTATTCATTCCAAAGATGCCTATTTGGGATTTAGGAAATTTTATTCTTTATTTTTGTGTGCATTTTTGGACTCTTTACTGTGGTTAACTGGATTCATCCACAAGACTCAACAGACGTGTCTTTTTACTGCATGCACAGTAATATTTTCCGTCTGTGCTCTACAGCAGAAACCCAATGGCCGGCTTGTTCATGGCTGTACTGGAACCACGTCCTTATCACTGTATTACCTTGTCTCTCTGAAGGAAGAGCAAATGGCAAGGAGAGTCATGGTGCTGCAAATACAAAACAATCTCCACTGGAAAGGTACAGGGTGTGTTATCTCAGAAGCAGTGTGTATCCAAGGGTAACTCTGCAAGAACTATCAGAAGTAAATTCTGCCAAACACAGGAGAAGCCTGTTCCTTGCTACGCAAGAACCTTGTTTTCCCTCCACAGTGTTCAGCCTCAGTGAACAGTATTATGACATCAGGAGATAAAACGCTGACACAAAACCAGGTCGGTATGGAAAACCCAGGCAAGCTGTAAACATTTGAAACAAACAAACAAACAAAAAAAGCATTCAAGCTGTGTACGTACACAGTTTCTTCTTGTTTTTTGAGGGGCAAATCATAATATATATTTTTTCTAATAGGTCCGCCGTGTCATCAACTTGAGCTGTTCTGATGAAGTAAATGGTTTTTAGTCTGACTTACCTCTATTCAAACCATGTAGCATATTCTCCAGTTTTGTTTGCTGATGGTAGAAAGAACTGTATTCAAGGGGCCTTACCTCACCATAATATGACAAGAACTTGTTAAGGGCTCTACCCATTGTTGTTGTTCTTTTATTTTTTCCCCACTCATTTTACTGGTGAAGCAAAGAGCATTTCAGAAGGGGCATTTCTTTGACATTAGGGCTCTTATTTCACTCTGTGACATGTTGCACTATGGCAAAATAACTGTCAATACATTGTTTATAAGATGCATTTCTTATTTTTTGTAATTCTATTTATGTGTGACCCAAGGTCACTGCCTTCTGTCTGTAGGAACAGTAAGTCACCTGTCACATCTGCCATGCTATTTGATGGAGATCAGGGAGCTGCAGAATACTTTGTTATAGTTGTATTTACTATGCTTTTATGTGGAACAGGTATAAAATTACTGTTTTTAATAATTTAAATATAGTGTGGAAGCCAAAATCCTAGCTTCTGTTGCTCACTGTATAGAAAAACTTTGGGGAGAGCTGCAAATCTTCATTTTAGAAACTGGGTCTTTGTTTTATAATCAACAGCAGGATTACATCACAGAGGCAGGCTAAGGGAATCCAGGCTGCCCTTTGCAAAGATGGCAGCTGCAGCTTCCCTACCCTAAATGGAGCCGCAGCCACCGTCTTTGCAAAGGGCAGCCAGTTTCCTTTTTTACACGCTGTGGCTGCAGAGGCCTGATGGAGATCTCGGCAGCAATTACAGTATGGGGGTGTTGGCAGGAGTGGAGGGGGGGCAGTGGTGCAGTGGTGGTGGTGGGGCAGCAGGGGTGGGGTAGTTTTTTTAATAACCCTCCCACGAATCAACGAATATATTCATTATTCATTGCTTCATGGAGGCAACTTCATGCTTCATGAGTCGTTAACTTTTGACAACTCATGAAGCGGGACGACTCGCCAAAATGGTGAGTCATCCCCATCTCTATACATCACATATCACTTCTTACATACACTGTCCTGTAGAGGCAGTCTAGAGATACATTCTATTTTGCACTACATACATGAATTTAACACTGTAATCAAAGTCTGCTGAATAGTAATGCAGCTATTAAATCTTGAGAACTTTTCGATTTGTAATTCAGCTGGAATGGTGATTTATAGTTCTGCCCAGAGAGTATATGCAGTGGCCTTTCATAAGACTTTCCCCTGAGGCTGCTCATTAGGTGACACAGGTGGTGTTTTCTTCAAATGAGGCCATCTTAATCTGTGGTAAGCAATTCTGTCAGATTCTGTCTACAGCAACCTGTATTATCAGTGCTCAAAGGCCTTATACTTATACGTATACTTATGCTCTTTCCTTGTAATGATGACATAGTATGCCATAGAAAACATAATTTACATTAGGAAACCTCATTTAGACTTATAAAGTCACAATCATTATTTGCCCATCCACATAGATATATGCTAATTATTTGTAACCTCAGAGGCAAAGAGGAAAAAGAGGAAGAGGAAATGCAACTTTTAAAAGAGTCCTTGACTGTTCACTTCTGGGTAGATTCTTTTTTGACCACAGGCAATCGGTCATTTAATAATATATGAATTTGCTTCATATGATTAATTCTAGCAATATGGTAAATTGCTCATCTCTGTGACATTTCATGCTTTCTCTGCAGCCTATACTTGAACTCACAAGCAAGTTCAAACTTGTTTATGAGTAATCTGGCCTTTCTCACCATATTACTCATAAACATATCCAAACCCACTTATAAGTGCAAACATAGGCTACAGAAAAATATGACATGTCATAGAAATCCTCTCCCTACATGATACGCTTATTAGTGTCAGCACTGGATGCCTTCATGCAGAAAATATTCTTAATGGCTGTTATATCGGGGCTGCAGTGTTTAAGTTCAACTATGCACAGTTATGTACTGAAAAAGAGAACAGGTTCTGGTATCTGAACGAGAAATGAGAGATGATTTCTTTACGGCCTTCTTTGTGAGTATCCCATCTTTAAAAAATCCTAGACAATGGGTAGGAGGCAACAAAATTTATGGAAAAAGAAAAGGTTTTCTAAACTACTGTATAAGAACAGAGAAAAAGAATCTCTGAAACTACAGGAATGTCTATCTGACTTTGATACAAGGGAGAATGCTAGAATAAATAATAGAGCTGCCAGTTTATATGCAGCTTGATAAAGAGAGAGATGAATAACAATTAGAAGCCAACATGAATTTATTCAGAACAGACACTTCCAGATTAATCTTACCCCCTTTTTATTAGTTACTAGTTGGTTTCAGCAAAGCATTTGACAGTTCTCTATGCTATTATTTAACATATTTGGGTAGTCTAGTTGGTAACATCACTGATGCTCAGAACCAGCTGGGAAAATGTACTAAATCCTTATCAAATTCAGAAGAAGTTTCAAGTGGAGTACTAAATGGCTGTCCAGAGCTGGTAATCTTCATCATTTTTTTAAATCAGTGACCATAATAATGGAAATCCTTAACAAGTTTGCAGGGAAGAATAATTAATACATTGGGAAGAATGATGAATACATCAAAAGACAGTAATTCAAAAATAGTAATATGACAAGAGTAGTCCAAAATAATCTTGACAGATTAGAAATGTGGGCTCAAACAGAATAAGAAAGCAGGGTACAAAGACCTAAATCTGATTGTTAATCTCAGTGAAAGCAGACTATTGAAACAGTGGAGTTTGTGTGGGTGTTGGTTCACAGTATACCCAATGATTCAGTGGGTCTACTGAGGTTGAAATTGGCAGTTGGGTTTAGGCTAAAGTTTTATGTTTAGGTTGTTGCTGTTTTTAAAAAGGTCCACAGGTGCCCCTGGCTATAGAGTGGGAGATACATGCTGTGGCAGTACTATATCGGGAAAAGATCTTTGGACTGCAGTTAATCATAAATTGAATATGAGCTGGAAACATACAGTAATATGGCTGTAGAAAGGCTAATGCAATTTTAGGTTGTATTAACAGTTCTTTCCAAGAACTTAAAAGAAGTAGTTCCCTTTTATTCTTCTTTGGTCAGAACTCATATGAAATAATTGGCGCCAGTTCTGGGTACCACATTTTATGAAGGATGAAGACAAATCTTGTAGGTTCATAGGTGGATAATGAGGATGGTGGGGGATGTGGAAAACTAATCCTTTGAGGAAAAGTAGACATATTTGGTTATGTTTAGCATAGGGAAGACTAAACAGAGACACAATAGTACCCTTTAAATATCTGAAGGGCTGTCACGCAGAAGACTTGTTCCTTGATGCTCCAGTGGGCAGGGGTAGGATCTGGTGGACTTGGAGAAGAATTTGGTTGAATATTAAGAGAAACGTCTTCATAAAAATAGTTTGACAGCAGTACCAGTTGCCTGGGAGATGAGTTCTTCAAAGAGAAGCTGGATAGCCATCAATCAAGGATGCACTAACTTTGGGTTCCCTTCATTTAACAGGGAATTTGATAAAACTCCCTACATGACACCCGCTCCTTCCTGATATTATTCTGTGAAGTAAAATGCATGGCTGCTTGAAAGGCATTATAATGTACACTGGTTACAAAGTGGTCACCCAGCTTGGGTGCACTGGCATTGTAGGGAAAAAAGAAATAGAATATGAAATGCTTTCTGTTGAGAAAAGTCACTAAGAATTGTCTCAGTAAGTTTCATGGAGCCCATCTGATAACCAGGCTTCTGTCTCAAATTATTTCACAACTGAAGTCAGGGTTGATTTGACACTATTCATAAAGCAGTTTACTATTAACATTTGAATATGTACTGATGACAAGAGGTCCTTTTAAACTTAAAAGTCCTCTGTGTAAAAAACCATTACTGAAGTGATTTCTTTGTAGCGTTCATACATTCTGACAGATCGGGAACAAGTATAAATGTATTCTCGAGCAGTGATTAGAGCTATACGTGTATTTGAATAGCTGTGCCCTTAAATGTGCACATCTTTTAAACTGCCTGCTGATGACTATAATGGTAGACATTATGCAGTATGGAAGTAGCTAAATGATGAGCTAACTTTTGCTAAAGTGAAAGAATGTTGATTGATTTTCAGTGGTTCAAAGCAGATACTGTGTCTGCATGAAGCAAAAACCAACCCTACAAATGGGTAGGATCCATCCACACACTTCCACAAGCACAACAGCAGGCATCAACACAATCAGCCAGAGCTTAGGTGAAGAGAGAGGAGGGAAATAAATTTTTCAAGTCCCACTAGTGGCATGTTAGGTTTTAATTGTCTGAATGGCACCACTCTGAAAAGATGTCTCATGCTCTGATCCTAATATGTATACATATATACCCAAGGCTTTAACTTACTGTCATATTTCCCTGTATTTGACAGGCATAGTTCTCTGTATGTTTGATCCTAAGTATTTGTGTGCTACTGTAGTGCATCTAAGGATTACATGAGTTCCCTGTTACATAATACACATTAGAATTTGTTATATAAGCTTGTCTGCAAAGCATGTCTGTAATTCCAGCTGAATTTAACACCCACGTATCTTCCTGGAAGTTACATTTAAAAAGTTGATCCAGAACAAAGTCCTAAAAATGCAAAAGTAGAAAAATGTCATATGTGCCAATAAGGGGCCTTATTCCTCAAGTATGCTGAGCATCTTTCATTCAACACTGACAGCAGCTGAAAATCTGTACAGAGCTCACCATACTAAAATAGTTGATCAGTATTTTATTTTTGAGGATACTGCAAATGTGTATCAGTCCAGTGGCTGTTGTGAGTTTCTCCCAAGAATCCCGAGAGTTAGCAAGGGTGTTGAAAATTCTGTTAGGGATCACTAGCCTTTCACGCTGCAAAATTATAATTCCAACTAGGGCTGTGCCAAGGTTTTGACAAATCTTGAATTACTAAATGAATTTCCCTGGTTCAGATCAGAAATCCTATTGTGTGTGGAGCAGATTTCAAATTGGATGGCTCACATTAGCCTTTCTTTTTAAATGAACAATTTAAAGATGCTTTACACACAAATCCTTGAAGCCTGCTGTCTGAAATTATGCAGGTTTCTTCCCCTCTTCAGAGTCCATATGTTCGAAATTTCATGTGTATCAGTGCAAAAACAAAAAGTTATAGCAGTTTGCTTTTTCCAATGCAAGTCAATGGAAGCTTATAAGCCTATTCAGATCCAGGGTGTGTAGAGTGAAATGGGTATAAATCAGCTTGGGCTGAATTCCAAAGACTTGAATTGGCCTCCAAATTTCATAGGTGGAGAACTAGGAATAGCTCAGATTGCAGGGATTTCAGAGAAAGAAGAAACTACTTAAAACTGCATGCCTCTATTTAGATATCCTCAGTAACTGAATTAGCTTTCTACAGTGATATTTCATATCACTCAGTAAGAATACCCTGCCTTTATCAAAAGTAGCAATGAAAGTCTCTTTGCCTTTATCACACTCATATACAGTTGATAAAGATCATAGATTCTTGAAAATCCAAATTTTCAGAGTTTTTGTTTTTAATGAGGTTCAGCTTCATACTTGCACCTTGTGGAGAGATCTCTGAAACACACACAGTCAACAAGAGGTTTCACAGCAGCATTTGCCAACCTTGGGC